CCCAGCAGCAGCAGACATCTGCCGGGGCACGGTATGTGAAAAGTTCAGGGACTGATGAGGGCAAGACAGTTTGAAAACTTTTTTAAAAGAAAGAAAAAAAAAACATTTTAGGCCAAATGAAGCATGAAAAATACTCAAATTAAAATAAAGACTTAAAAAAGCATTAGCTGTTCTTGCCTTTGTAAGGAAGCCATCTGTAAAGTTTGAATGGCTGAGGATATGATTTGGATCCTACCCTACTCTGCTGAGACTGTTTTCCAGACAGGCCCAGCTGTTCTGGGGAGGAACCCAGTGGAAGTGTCGGGTCCGCTTCACCCCCAGCCTCCTCTTTAACCCCAAGCCAGAGACACCCACCCAAAACGACTGGCTCCCCAGGTCCTCCTTCAGCCAGCCTCACCCCTGCCATTTTCCAGAGCTCGGACAAAGTCTCCACTTTACATTCTAAAAGTCCAGTGAAGTAATTTCAAGTCAAGCTGATTTTAAACGTTTAGAATGTGGCTTCCCGCCTCCTTCTTGTGACCACCGAAGCCCTGTCTCCTAAAGCAACGATTCTCACTGTTGAGAGCATCACAGGAACTTGTTAAAATGTCAGTTCCTGGGCCCCATCTCACTCCCATTCTGGCCCCATCGGCCTTGAATCTGCATTTTAACGAGCTCCCAAGACAATCCTGATACTGGAAGCCCCTGGACTTCACTATGAGAAATCATGTTTGGAAGGAAATGGTGCCTCAGTCGGAACTTAGTTGCTGGTCTCATTCACCCAGCTGTATCCCCGAGTTAATAACTAGCACAATGCCCCAGGCACTGCAGGGGCTCCGGGTCCACTGGATGGATGGGGGAGGGGAGAGAAGGGAGGGCTGCTCAAGAAAGATGGACCCCAGCCAAAGGATTCCCAAATTAACATAGCAAAACAGGCTGGAAGAAAGCATCACACTTCTTATAAAAATGTTTCTCTGAAAATGTGTCAACCGGGGCTGACTCATTTTTAACGAAGAATTCTGTAAAAGACACAAGAGCATGTGTAACATGGACAACACGGCCACAGGACAGGCAGACCAGATGCAGCCTTGAGAGCCACGAGCTGCAAGTGAATGAAAACACATCCAATTCAGAATTAAATAAACATGGCTGGGCCCACAGCCAAGGAGAGTTCTTGGATTGGACTTTTATCAGGAACCTAAATTTTAATCAGCTGGAACTTCTTCTTTTCCAAGTACCACCCTATTCCTTCCTACCTTTAGAGATGAAGTATTTGCCTTAAATGGGAAACTTGCACTTCATTGTAAAGACGATGCCAGCATTCTGGCTTCCTGAATTCCTGAAGGAACAGACTTTGGTGGGGGAAGGGGGGGGAGAGTAGAAATTGTGTTTCAGGGATAACAGACCAGGGAAGGTGTACCCCATCTAGGTAAGAAGGCAAGAAATGTTCCCTCCTCCTCCACTGCAGGAAAAGCCACTAAATAAAAACCTGTGGGAATAGATTCCTAATTTCTTGTTCCATAAATAGGCTTCTCAAACAACCAGCAAGGCAAGAGGAGGGGAAAAAACCTCAGTGCAAGTGACCAACATAAAGTTACCCATCACAAACAAAACCATTCCACTTCCAAGAAGCAAGCAGTTAAGACTCAGTGTAAATGAGGATGCTGGCCCCTCTGGAAGTTTTACAACTTGTTACTTCTTTGCGAAAATTGTATTTATTACTCAAAGAGCAACTTTACCTGGCAAGAGCCCTAAGAGACTTAAAAAAAAAAAAAAAAAAAAAAACTAGTTGAGGAAGTGAGCCCACAATTCATTTCTAAAACACTGCACTGTGTTCAAGATGGTATCGGCCCCTTAACTGCCCCGCTAATAATGGGGAGGTTGTGAAATCTGACCACTTAGACCAGGCTGGCTCCTCCCAGAGCAGCCCCGAAGGGAGGGTTACAGCTGCTGAGGGTTAGCTGGCTCCAGTCACCTTGCAAGTCCTGGGAAAATACACATTCCTGCAGGGGCAAGAGTTCCTGGAACAACCTCTCCCTGGAGAGCCAGGGGGTCAATCGCTCAGCTCCTCTCCAGCACCCAGATCCTGCCCCTCCTGAGGGCTCACTTCTCTACCCTGCTGTGTCTCCAGCTTCTCAGGTTCTGTGTGACGTAGACCCACAGGAAGCCCTCTCTTGCTTGCATCACACATCACCAACCCTTATTCTTATATGTTAACATAGCCCCAACTAGACTGTAAGCAACCTCAGTCAGCACTGAGACTAAGTACTATGGGCTGAACACCCACTAACTGGTAGGGGACTCGGACATGAATCAAATAGCCAAGTAACTGTACACCAGTACTTACTGGGCAGCCCTCTGACAGCGCAACTTCCGTAAAAACTTACCTAGGGAGGTAGAGGCAGAGGAGGCTTCCTGCAGGAAGTGATGCTGGAGCTGAGAGGGGAGGCTGAGATGTAAAGAGAAGGAACACAGGCGGGAGTAGCATGTACAAAAGCTCACTGCGGAGAAGACACTGGAGCTCACTGCTCTGATCGTGGCCCTTCCCCCACCCCCCTTCTTAAAATCGATCACTTCATACAGGATTTAGCAGGAAGGCTGCAGGGTCTACTTGGGTTCAGCCAAGATTTACAGGGCCCCAGGCTCTGAGCTCACCAACACAAGGTTAAGTGTCTGGCTAAAGAAACTACTCTGAAGACACAGATGTGAACAAATACTGATGATGTAGTCTGGTGAGAACCAAAGGCAAGGACCTGCAGGAGAAGGCGAAGCAAGGGGAATGGCATTCAGAGGGCTTCCTTGAGGAGGCATCATCTGAGCTGAGTCTTAGGCCAAGCAGGGGGTTCTCAGAGGAGGAAAAGCTATCCCAGGAGCAGGGAAAAAGCATGCCTCGGCAGCAAGAAGGGCACAGGAGTTAGGGAGCAGGGTGGGAGGGCCAGGGGCTAGAGTTGGAAAGGTGAGTATGTAAGGCAGGTGGACAAGCTGGGTCAGGGAAAGCTGGTGGCTCCATCAGATGCATCAAAAGACCAGGAGGGAAGGAGCCACGCGTCAGCTTGGGAAGAGCCTAGAGTACAGGAGATGGCCCTGAGGCTTCCACGCTCATTCAGAAAGCAGGTGAAGATGACCCCAAGGAAAGGACTGTGAGGCCAAGGTAGGAGCTGTTGAGAAGGTCACCCCCAGCATGAATGTGAAGCCACTGGGATGAGGGCCCCCATTAATCCTGTGGGTGTGCAGGTTTAGGGGCGAACACATTCCCACAGAGAGCACAAAACCGCCAGCTTGGCTCCTCTGGTGCCCGGCTATACCCACAGCATTAAAACTTCACAAGGTCTGTGCACTGACACGTGAAGCCACCTGGGCAAGTGCAGAAAAACAGCAAATTGGGCTGATCCACCTAGGCCGGCTTATGAAAATGCAGAATAAAATATCTGTGATGCTGTTATTCAAAAGCCAACACACCAGTTTAGATCCAGAAAATTTAGGATTGGTAAGTCAACATGGGAAAGCCTTAAGGAAAACTTTTTGATCTAAAAACTGAGGAAAACTTGGTATCTATTGAAAAGAAAAAAAAAAAACAAGAATAGTGGTATTTTTACTAAAATGGGACAGAGTAAGAAAATGTGATGTTTTACTCAAATCGGAAGGTTACATTCACTATGGGGTTGGTGAGAGGGTGGGTTATAGCTGTCTATAGCACAGCTATTGGGTTTGAAGACATCTCAGCTACTTGGTTCATACCTCGTTTTCTGCACTGTGTTTCTCTGAATGCGGGGCAAGTGAGCTGGAGGCACCAGCCTGTGCCCCTAAAGGGATGTCAGGTTCTAGGCCTCAACTGCTTGAGGTCGTTCAGAGCACCCCACAAGAGGTGGGTGGACGTTGTTCTAAGAGAACTACCCCATACCCATCCCTCAGAGCAGTAGTGCTAGGGAAACTAGGAAATCCCATTTACTCCTGTTTTCCAGGTGAAGAAATTGAGGCTCATGGCTGCCCAGGAGAAGAGCCAAGGTCATGTTCCATGGCTGCCTGAGTGCAAATCGGTGTCCCCTCCACAAGGCTGAAGGCCGTGAGTGCCCTGACACCAGGCTGGTCCTGGCTTGGGTGGGAGGGGTGCTGGGCAGATGGACACAGTCTCCAGGTCCTCTGGCCGCCCAAGCCCAGGAGCCCTGATAGAAACTCGGGACGGCAGCGTCCCCGCGCACACCCCCCTCCCCATGTCCCATCGCCCAGAAGGCATCGAAGAAGCGCTGGGTTAGGGGCAGAGGGCTCCAAGCACAGGACAAAGTCGGTGCATCCCTCCAGTCTCGTCTCGGGCATCTGCCCGAGGGGACCAGCTCATTCCTCCCCTTGGCCACGAAAAATATCCTCAACTCAAGCTGGATGGCGGTGGAGGTGGGGGGGTCATCCGTGAGACCGTTCGAAGGGCTGGATACGGGAGCAAAATTTACCAGCAAGTCAGGAGTCTGAGGTGGGGGTGAAAGTGGGGTAAGACGGCCTGGCCCAGAAGGAACAAAGCGGCTCCGAAAGAGGGGGGCGCACCCCTCCCCAGCACTCAGGGTCCCCTGCCTGGCAATCCCGGGCTTTTGCAGAGTTTTGGACCGGAGGTCCGAAAGAAGACCCCCACTCCCGCTCCAAAGCGCCCCCCATGCGAACAGCTCGGAGGATCCCAGCCCGGGGCCCTGTGCCCTGAGAGGGAGGAGGTCCCGGGCCTGGAACAAAGGGTGGGGCGCCCTACTCCTGCCCCACGCCGGGCGTCCCTCTCGCCCGCCCTCCTGGAGCCGGACCCCGGCCAGTGGCCGCGCCTCATTAGCAACACAAAGCCGGGGTCGAGCGGCCTCTTTCAACCCAGCCGAGGCAGGCAGACGAGCGACCCGGGAGGGACGCAGGAGGGCGGGAGCAGCGGGATCCCAGCCCCACTGCGCACTCTGCGGAGAGCAGGCAAGTCGACGCGGGCGCCACTGCCCGCGAGCACCTGTGCCCCCGCGCTTTGGGGGACAGCAAGAAACTCGCTGTCCTCTCCTTACCCTCCAGCCACAGGTGTCGGCGCCCCGCGTTCTGCTGGAGCCGCCTGCGGCCACTGCCAGCTGGGAGCCGTTGAGGCAGGCGTTGACTGTGAAGAAGACAGAGCAGAGCTGCAGCCACGGGGCCATGGCCGTGCGCTCACCCAGCCCGGCCCTACTCTGCTCCCCGGCCGCCCGCCGCTGGCCAGCCCGGAGTGGGCGGTGGCGCTGGCTGCAGCGGCAGAACTGGCGGCACCACCGAGCATGCGCTGCGGACCCTCGCCCCGCCCCTTCTCTCCGGGGCCCGCCCCTAGCCTCGACCCTCAGGTTTTCGCCCCGCCCCCTAGGTCTGGCTCTTCCTCTTGGCCCCGCCCCGACCTCTAAGCCACGCCCGCACAACCCATCTCCGAGTGACTTTGAGAAGCCGACAGCTGCAGTTTTTTCCCCTCACCTGAGAGGTCTTTTTTTTTTTAATCCAAGGATTTTTCCACGTAATGCCTGCTCCCTGCAAAACTTGGGAAAACAAACCAAAAAAATGATAATAATAGTTAAAATAATAATTTACAAGTGCCTACTATTTGCCAGTCCTCTTCTTGAATCCTCTCAAACACACCTGAAAGTGTCAGTAGTATTGTTATCCCAGTTTTCAGCGCAGAAAAGCTAGGGTAATGTGGTGGTTAGAGAAATCCTGGCTGGGACCTCGGACAAATGACTTGCTCTGTCCCCATTATTGTTCCCTCCCCCTGTAAACTGGAATAACAGAGAAAGTGTCTTAGTCTGGGGAGGATTCTACTGGTTAACACATAACAAGCATTCAACAAGTGCTACAATCTACTGTTAACTGACTTGCATAAAGTCACACAGCTGGCACCTGCCAGATCTGAGATTCAAATCCAGATTGGCAAAAACAATACTCTTAACCATTACACTTGTCAAACTTACTCTTATGAAGTGGGTAGTACCTCTGTTTGGGAAAGGAAGCTGAGGCTGGCAGTGAAGTAGCCAAGATCATCCAACTTCCCCACAACCCCCTTCCCCCTTTGACTTGTCTCTGTGCTCTTGATCCCACCTCTTCACCCTTCTCCATTGCCTTATCCCTCATCTATGCCACCACCTCCTCCACAACAGCTTCCAAAGGGCTTTTCTTGCTTGCACTTTTGTCCCAAATACAATGCATTTCTGCACCTTGGATCCAGAGTGATCTCCAAAAAGGTGTCTCCTGCAGTGGCTTTTATTCAATGGCCTTTAGAATAAAATCTGCAATGACCTCCTCCTCTCCCATGTTATCTCTTCCTACTCTGCCTTCACTACTTGGCTCCAGCTACACTGATCTCCCTGCTCAACCTCAACTTGGTTTTCTTGTCTCAGTCAACCCTGAAGACTCTCACCTTTGCCAGTCCAACAAGGCAGCCTCCTCTACATGACTCTCTCCTTCCAGGGCCTAGAATCCCCTCCCTCTCCTGTCTGCCTGGCCTACATGTGGTGATAGACAGCTCAGCTGCTACTAACACTGAGTTCCTGTATTTTCCATTGTGGCTCTGCACACCCTACCCATACCTTGTACTCAAACTCTCTGCAGAGGCAGAAGTGGCCCAAGCTTAGCAAGCTACCCTTGTGGAGACAGTAATGCTAGCAGAAGTCCTGGTGATTGGCTTCGGAACCAGGGAGCAGAGCCAGCTTCCCTTGAACTACAGAAGCTGGAAGTGGGAGACAGTGGTAGCCCAAACCCGTCCTCCCTTTCTCGCTGCCAGAGAAAGGGAGGATGGGTTCCCCAAACAACAACTGGTGGTCCAGTGGGTAAGACTCTGCACTCCCAATGCAGGGGGCCCGGGGTTCGATCCCTGATCTGGGAACTAGATCCCGCCTGCATGCCACAACTAAGAGCCCGCATGCCGCAACTAAAAGATCCCGCACTCCACAACAAAGATCCCACGTGCCACAGCTAAGACCCGGCGCAGCCAAAATAATAAATAAATACATAAATAAATATATATATATTTTAAAATCCACCAGAACACCCAGGTGCTGAGATTTCCTGTTCATGTGCACCACTGGACAGGAAATGTTTTATTTTTTCATGTCATCACCAGGATATTCAGGAATTCAGCCAAACCCAGCATCACTGCTTTGGTCATCTAGAAGAACCAGGATCCACAGAAGGCTGCCTGCAGGGTAACCTTCTCTGAATAGACCTCACGCGATACGTTGCTCCTGTGGGGAAGCTGTAGACTCTATGCTCTGGTGCCTTCCAGACCTCTGCCCATCCTCCCTGACTCCCCTCTGGATCATTCCCAACCCCCACAGCCGGGAGCTGGGGATGGCAGGGGTTTGGCTACGAATGTCAGGAGTGCCAGGGGCTGAAATGAGGCCAGGACCACATGGGTGAAGTTGGTGAAGCACCCGGGAAACCAGGAGACTACCTGCTCCTTAGGCTCTTTAATCTCTATGACATTCCAGCCTAGACATGTGCCATAATTTATTAACCAATCCCCTGCTGAGGGACTTCTATTATAATCAGGGATTCAAAAATATCCTCACACACTTATCTTGATACACTTATTCAGCTGTTTTCTTAAGATACATTCCTAGAATCAGAACTGCTGGATTCTGCACATTTAAAACTGGCAAATTGCTCCACATCTCATTGCAGTGTTAATGGGCTTCTCTGGCTGCTAATGAGGTGGACCATGCTCTCAGGCATTTAGAGGCCATGTGCATTTCTTCCTTTCTTCTGGAGTTGGACCCCAGAAAAAGGATCAGTATTTAGAGCTTATGATAGAGGGAGAGCCTTAAGGAGGGTACTGGGGAGAGGAGAACGTTTCTTCTTGAGTTTCACTCACATCACCAATCACCATATGATTGAGTGACTGGGGAAGGCAGAGCAAAGGCTCCTACATCCTTTCCAGTCTCCACACCCACCGACTTTTGAGTTCCCTCCTGCCCACAGCTCGCTGCCCAGTCTGGCAATTGACAGCCCCTGAAAATATGCTACAGAATTTAGAGAGCGCTTCAACTTTTCTAAAGGAGTACAGAGGACACAGGAAAGAAAATGTCTAAAACATGGTTAGAATGACATCCCTCAAGACCAAGGACTGAGAGGCCCTTCTGTTTGCCTTCTAGGGAGGCCACAAGCATGCATGGGGGGGGGGGGGGGGGGGGGGGAGAACCACATACATCAAAGGGAAAAATTTGGTCAGGAAATAGAGGCAATAAATTGGCATTTGGCAACATCCTCTCCACTCTGGTCTTCTTCATCAATTCTTTTCCTCTCATCCCCTCTTTTTATTGTGACCCTTCAGAATATTTGTGAGGCTGCAGGAAGTGAACCTCTGTACTAGAAACTGAGATAAAATGAGGAGGCCAGGCTCCCACAAGGCCTCCACGGTCTATCCTTCCTCTAGGCCACAGCAGAGCGCAGTTTCGTAGGTGCCCAGAGGATGAAGCCCTCCTCAAATACAACATGTAGTTTCACCCACCGTGGCTAGGGCTGTCTGTGGCCCAGTCACAATTCAAGCCACCCCTCATCTTCCCTATCTGGTTCACCTCTCTGCCACCAGTGCCCTGCACTCTGCCTGACACACATCAGTGGGCAAGAAACTGTTGCTGCCTCCATCCCTGGTTGGAATGAAGTTGGGGATTAAACAGATTAAATCACCTTAAGCCGTTGATGAAATGCAAATATATTTCCCCAATTTACCTAGAACCTAAGCAGATAAGAAAAAAATCCTTACCACGAGGATTGGATTTTGTTAGGAGTCAAATTATCCCCTGAAACATAAGAAACGATAAAGTGATCATGGAAACATTTTGTATCCTGAATCATTTTCAGCTGAGAAGAACTAAAAACAATGAACGGTGGTTAGAAGCCGTGGGCCAAAATTCTAATTTATTTTTGGTATTGCGATGTACACGTATTATGCGCTAATCAAGACATTAAAGGTAAAGTGTGTCCTCCACCCCATCTCCCAGCAGGCTGAGCGTGAAAGTTTCCCTGGGCTTTGGGGAGAGCAGTACGGGGAGAACTGATACACTCCTGAGAGCCCCGCCGATGTCAGTTCGGCCCCGGGCAGTCTTGGCTCGAACCGGGTAGTTGTCATCATCTCTACTTCACAGATGGGGAAGCCAAGACTCAGCCAGGAGTTCCCAGACTCATCTGATCCCCCAAACTCTGCCTGGGGCGCGGGCCCGCATCCTTCCGGAGCCGGCCTTGGCGCCGCCCAGACTGCCCAGAGGCCCAGGGCGGGGGCGGGCGTCAGACCCGGGGCGGCCGACCCAACCCCGCGCCCCGAAACCCCCATACACGCACCCCAAAGTGTCGCGGCCATTACACGGAGTTCACGCGTCCACTGCCACTTCCTGTTTCTTTTGAAGCGCGGGGAGTCCAGTCTCCACTGTAGCTGCCAGAGGGCGCGCGTGGTCCAGGTTGGAGACGCCCAAACAATCGCGGACTGCGCCGCCGCGAGGACACAACACTTTAGGGCATAGCCCAGATGCAGGGGCAAAAGCTCGCTGTTAACCCAGACCTGGTGCTAAGTTTGCGTGGAAGTAGAGTTCAGGAGGCGGTAAGAAAAGAATGTTAAATATGGGCTTTCAGTAACAGTGTAGCTCTGGGCAATTCAGTTAACCTCTCTGGATGTCACTTTTCTTAATGGCCACATAGGAATGACATGGATGCAGACCTCAGTGGGTTTTTGTAAATCTGAAGTAAGCAAATGGCTATGAGTTGTAAACCAGGACTTGATGGAGGCAGGCCCAGGGGCAGCTGGAATCCAGACAGTAGCCAGGGGAGATGGCCTCCTCTTGTCTCCTTCTGGAGCTCACACCCTGGTTTGGATATGCACTAGACTGGAAGGCTATGGACCATAACCTGTTTACCATTCATTCATTCAACAAGTGCTCATAGAGTCCCTGCACCATATCAGGCATTACACCAGAAGCTGGGGACCAGTGTGAACAACACGGACACTGTCCCCAACAAGACACTGTCCCAGTTGTCATAGAACCTACAAGCAAACATTCCATGGGGGACACTGGCATTACTCAAATAACCACATGACCAGGGGATAATTACAAGTAGATGGATTGTGTCTAAAGAAGTGATGCCTGGACTTCCCTGGTGGTCCAGTGGTTAAGAATCCGTGCTTCTACTGCAGGGGGCATGGGTTCGATCCCTGGTGGGGGAAGTTCCGCATGC